GCCACCTTAGGTGTATGTGGCTGGCACCTTAGCCGCTTGAGCCACAGGCGCCGAGCCCAGAGAGCCTTTAAAAAGATTCTTATACAGATATTGGTGGAGATGTGGAGAAAAGGGAACGCTTGTATACTGTTGATGGGAGTAAAATTAGTTAAGCCATAAATTAGTAAAGCCATTATGCCACTATAGAAAACAGTATAAAGTTTCCTCAAAAAATTAAAAATAGAAGTACCATACAACTTAGCAATTCTTTTTTTTTTTTTTTTTTGAGACAGAGTTTCATTATGTTGCCATCAGTAGAGTACGTGGCATCATAGCTCACAGCAACCTCAAACTTTTAGGCTTAAACGATTCTCTTGCCTCAGCCTCTCAAGAAGCTAGGACTATAGGCACCCACCACAACACCAGATATTTTTTGGTTGTAGCTGTCATTGTTGTTTGGAAGGCCAGGGCTGGGTTTGGATCCATCAGCTCCGGTGTATGTGGCTAGTGCCCTACCCATTAAGCTATAGGTGCCAGGCCGAGAAATGTGTTTTTTGAGAGAGTCTCACTTTGTCACCCTGGGTAGAGTGCTGTGGCATCATAACTCATAGCAACCTTAAACTCTTGGGCTCAAGTGATGATTCCTTACGGCAGCCACCCAAGTAGCTGGGACTACAGGCTCCACCCACAACAGCCAGCTATTTTTATTGATTGACTGATTGATTGAGACAGAGTCTCACTTTTTTTTGGCCCCTGGATATTCATTTACTTATTTATTTATTGACACAGACGCCCTCAGTAGAGTGCCATGATGTCATAGCTCACAGCAACCTCAGACTTTCAGGCTCAAGTGATTCTCTTTCCTTATCTTCCCGAGTAGCTGGGACTATAGGCACCCACCACAACACGGGCTATTTTTAGAGACGGGGGCTTGCTCTAGCTCAGGCTGGTCTCAAACTCGTGAGCTCAGGCAATCCACCCCCCTTGGCCTCCCAGAGTGCTAGATTTACAGGTGTGAGTCACTATGCCCAGCCTATCCAGTAATTCTTCTGAGTATATACTTAAAGGAAATGAAATCAGTACCTTGAAGAAATATCTTCACTGCCATGTTCATTGCAGCACTATTCATAATAGTCAAGATCTGGAGTCAACCTAAGTGTCCATCAAGAGATGAATGGGTACAGAAAATTTGGTATATAGATATAATGGAGTACCAGTCCGCCTCAAAAAAGAAAAACTCCTATCATTTGTAACAACATGGAAGGACTTGGAAGACATCACACTAAATGTGACAAGCCAGGCTCAGAAAGACAAACACTACATGTTATCACTTATATGTGGAATCCAAAAAAGTCAGAATGTTGGTCACCAGAAGCTGGGGAATAGGGAGTTCTGGAGATATTCCTCAAAAGAAACAAAATTGCAATTGATGGGAGGAGCAAGTTCAAGAGTTCTATTGTACAACTTAGTTAACTATAGGTTGTAACAATGTATTGTATACTTGAAAATTGCTAAGAGAGTAGATTTTAAGTGTTTTCATCACAAAAAAAGGGTAAGTATGTGAGGTAACATGTATGCTAATTAGCTTGATTTTTTTTTTAAGGGACAGAGTCTTGATATGTTGCCTGTGATGGCCTGAAACTCCTGGGCTCAAGTGATCTTCCTGCCTGAGCATCCCAAGTACCTGGGACTACAGGTACACACCACTACATTTAGTTAATTAGCTTGATTAAATTACTTCACAACATATACATGTATCAAAACATCATACTGTACACCATAAATAAATACAATTTTTATCTGTTAATTTTTTAAGAAAGTTCTTAGAAAGACACTTTTAGGCATTCCTGGGAAAGCATTTGGTGCAGTGCCCTAGCTATCCTTATACCAAGGTACAGAGGCTTTGGGACCATCTCATCCTCCCTTATTTTGGGCTTCCAGGCCTCTGCCATATTCTAATGTTTTATGTCCTGACAGGCAGCTTCACCTCACTCAGGCCTCTGTGATGAGCTATAGCCCTTGACAACTGCACAGCCATGTAAAAATGAGCTCTGTGTTTCTATAGGTGCTTCTTTTACAGAATAACACTTGGAAAGCTATACTGCTTGGCTTAAAGAAAAATCCCAGCAGTTAACCCTAGATCACATGTTAAGTCAATATCAAAGCAACCCCAGAAGCCAGTGTTCCTGACCTTTCAGGCCTGGGATGCAAAGCCTTCACAAACAGCAGCTATAGGAGTAGTTATTTGAAACAAAGGATGGGGACAGGAGCTGCCGCAGATGGCAGTGACATCCTGGGGTGTCCCAGCAGGAGGCAGCCTCGTCACTGCTACCTGAAGAAGCTCAGGATGGTAGAGCATGGATTTGAGGAGGAGATATTTTTGTGTGTGTATGTTCAATTAAGGTGTTTTTTTTTTTTTTGTCTCTTTACTTTCGTCTCTCAGTTTTATTAAGGTATAATTGACAAATACATTTTTTAATGTTATTTCGTATCACAACAATCATACACAATGTGATGTTAAATGTACACACTGTAAGATAATTACATCAAGTTTATTAACAATTCAATTATCTCACATATGATTTTCCAGTGATATAAACATTTAGTAACTACTCTCAGCAGTTTCCAAGTTTGAAATGTGTAATTTTTAACTATAGTCACCAGAGATATACCATAGATCTCTAGAATTTATTCATTCTAATTGGAACTTCCTAGCCATTGACCAAACTCTCAGACCTGCCACTTTCTAGGAAGACGGACTATAGCTTGACTCTACCTTTGGTCATGATAAATGAATACATGGACACTTTTCTGTATCACTTCAGAGAGCTTCAGCCCTACACAAAGATCTCAATTTTGGGGAACATGTTTGGGTTACAGACTATAGAGCTCTGACTGGCAGCTCACTGCAATGACAGACCACCATAGTTTAAGTTTGCCTGATGGTTAACTCTCACCACAACAACTTTAGTCTATTGGTTATTGCTCGTAGAAATGTCAGAGCTGACTCTTGTGTCCCAAAGCCTGTCGGTGGTTGCTGGCTTTTCTCAGAACTTCACCAAAAAGCCCTTGCATGGGCAGGCTGTGGTTCCTGAAGCCCCACCCCTCTCCCGAGTACCTTCCCACACCTCCTACCTCCTGTATAGCCCAGGCTGCTTGCACATTCATCTAGGCAATAGGCTGTCCCCCTGAGGCCTCCTTCAGAGTCCTATGTGGAATCCTAATCCCCAGATACCTCAGATTTAACTGTGTCTGAAGACAGGGTCTTTTTTTTTTTTTTTTTTTAGAGACAGAATCTCACTCTGTCACCCTTGGTAGAGTGCCATGGCATCAGAGCTCACAGCAACCTCAGACTCTTGGGCTTAAGTGATTTTCTTGCCTCAGCTTCCCAAATAGCTGGGACTATAGGCACCCGCCACAATGCCTGGCTAAGGACTAGACAGTTTTTAAATAGGAATCATATATAAAACACT